AGGTCACTTGAAGATGTTTCAGTTCTCCTTGTAGATGCTTTGGTCCACATATTCTATGAGTTCGTTTCATTAAAGTGGATATGACTCCGTTCTTTCGACTGAGATGGTGATTCGATAGTGCGTGCAGGTACCTATCTGTGTGCGTAGGTTCTCGGTACACTTTGTCAGTTAGTCTAGCACCACATTGTTCGATTAGTACATCTAGGAATGTTATTCGTTGGTCCTATTCAGTCTCCATGGTGAACTTGATGTTGGGGTGTTCAAGTGGTGAGTCAGGTGTGTGATTGTGTAATTTGAGTGAGGTTATGAATGGTACTTTCTTCAATATGAGTGAATGAAACTGTAGGAAGATATGATTGGTTGAGTTTATTGTGGTTCAATTATTGATTCTCTCAAAAGTTTTGAAATTGTCTAGATTAACGTGAATGAAGCATACAGCGCTTAATATCAAATATCGTTTGTATTCTATGAGCCCTGAAAAAAAAGATGATATGATTCTGTAGGTCACGTAAAGAATATATTTCTAATGGTGCGCTGTCTAACGAAAACCACCTCAGTACTAGAGCTGTTTCCTGGAAAAATTATCCCATAGGTAAGGAACGAGGGCATACAACTATGATCATAAGTCTATACAGCATGTACGTTTGTAATTTTCTTTTTTTGCATAGTGATTTCCGCAGGTTATAAAAGTGGGTCTCCCAAGATAGATTTTGATCCACAAATACACCTAGAAATTCCAAAAACAATATTTGTTTCAGGAACGTTCACTACTATGCTATCAACATCACTCCATTTTTCCATTTCAGGGATGTAATTAATAGATTTTTTTTGGCAGGCCGTCATAGTTATTGCTAGTGATTACCAGCAAATAGTGTCAGTGATTGAACGATGTCGTTGATCAAGATGATGAAAAATGTTGGCCCCAGTGTGCTGCCCTGGGGCACACCAGTTTACATTCAAAGTTCCTAACATGACTGATTTTCCATCCATACAATCTTATTGGTTTTTATCGGTACCAGTGAAATATATAACAGAACACGCTATCTGGCATTTTCAAATTTTCCCCGTCACAAAATATTTTCTGAATGAAACATTCGGAGTCAAGTTTCCCACTTCGTTTTTGCATGTAACAGTATCCACTAACTACTCCATTAACTTCTCCAACTTCAAATCTGCTTTTTATGGTTGAACTAACATATGTTAATATGAATATTTTGAATGAGTTCTAGCAAACTTCAGAAGTCATTATTAGACGTGCTTATCATAACGATTCACCATTTTCGAGTTCAGGCACAATTTGTAGTCGTTAGAAAATTTCGCTCGAATAAATCGTCTTTTGAATCTTCTTCCAGTAATATGGAATAACATTATACTAGAAATAGTGGAATATAATAGGCGAAATTGAGAAATAATTTTCAGTAAAGTATCACAAATCGAAATCTGATCAACATCAGTAGTTTTGTTTTTAAATCATCATGAATAACATAGTAATAATCACACACTTTATTGTGGGATTTTCACAGTGAGAATCTCACAAGTATAGACCAATTCAATCACATATTGTTTTATTTTTATTTTGTCTGTTTTTATTATTGGTTTTGTAATGAGACAAATATTTAGCCCTTCTGTGCTTTGGGAAAACAATTGACTTCGATCATCAAGAGTTCGAAAACAAGAATTTTATATATGGGTAGAGGTCGTTGATATGGCCCCACGGCTCCGAAAGTCCCGATAATTTCCTTTATCACCTCAACGACCTTCACCCGAATATAAAATTCACAATATCCCAAACATTTCCACATTCCTCCGTTTTCCCAAGAACAGAATTGTCAATGAATTCCAGGGTACATATGAAATTCTATGCTCCCATTGAAATAGAACATATATAGGCCAGACCAACAGACGTGTGAAAAGTAGAGTATACGAAAATCAACTTGCTGTCCGAAAGTCAGACCCATTCTCAGCCCTGTCCCAACATCATCAAGAGACAGAATATACTTTGCGAACCCTAAGACCATCGCCACAGCGAAAACACTAATAAATTCGAATAATTCGTGACGCTATCGAAATTGAAAAGCGATCTTTCCGCCTGAACAAACGTAATGACGGTCAGAGACATCCCCCCCATGCCCCTTCCAGGGTTGAGTGCCCTGAAGTAGAAGTTTCCTCCCCCAGCTAGTTAGCGAGGAGAACCTAATACCCCAATCCAAACACCCCCGCTCTCCAAGCAGTCCTCAACTCACTGATGGGCACTTTAGCAAGATTGACATCTGACCTCTTCTGGTCGACAATCAGCCTTTAGGTGCTATTCTTTTGCGATCGGTTAACTTGTTTTGTCGTGCCTATTTCTGACTGAATTTTTGCATGGGGGCCCCGAAAAACTAACCCGCGGCTATTGTCATTAGCGTCGAGCATTCTTCAGTGAATCTAAGGAGAAGTGAATCTCGGTCGAGTTGTTCTGCGTTGAACCTACCTGAAAGAGAGTTTGTCTGATTAATGATATGCTTACCTGAACCGCCTGACGGCGACTCGTGGTGATGGTCGTCGGTTTTGTTTTGTTGGCCTCGGGTGTTTATCCCTCTCTCTAAATCTGGGGTCATCCATATTCAACGCATCGTGTAGTTCGCGTAGTACTGGGTTGTCGTGCGATCTGATTCTATCGAACACGCTTTCTACGTGTTCTCTCATATACACCTCCACATATTGCGTGAACAGGTCTAGGTCTCTGTATATAAATCTGTTGGGGATGTAGTACGGTGCGTTTACGGTAGCCTTTACGCTCGCGTTCACAAATGACTATCTTCTTCCTGTATATCTGTGCGCACTGGCCCCAGGCAGTGCAGGCATACAGTATTATGGGCATGATAACGGTTTTGATCATCTGCAACTTCATTTCAACCCCATGTTGCTTCTGCGTCCTATGATAGGTGCCAGGCGTTGTCTGGCGTGTCTACCCATTCCGATTCTCTGCCGTACGTGAGACTGAAATGTAAATTTCCTGTCAAAGATGACACCCAGGTATGTCGCTTTGTTGGTTCACGGAATCTCTTGTCCATTGAAGGTGACGTTGCCGTCCGGTTGTACAAACCTGCGGGTGGACAGTATCGCCTGACTCTTGTTAGGGTTCATACCGATCTTCCACAGGTTGGCCCACTCCTCTAATCTGTCTGCCTGTTGCTGCAAGTACCTCGTGACATGCGCTTGGCTCGTGGATCTTGCCAGCAGTGCCGTGTCGTCCGCGTAGAGCGCCAACTTTTGAATTTGTTCTCTGGCTTGGGCACGTCCGCTGTGTATACGGAGGAGAGGTGTGTCGAAAGGACTGCTCCTTGCGGGACCCTGCTTCCAGTAGTCGAATTGTTGATAGTTTGTCTCCCACTCTGCAACGGCATCGCCTGTCAGCAAGAAAAGACTGAATTGATCTTACCATTGGTTTTGAATATCCGAAATCGCTCATCTTGGCCAGTAGTCCGTCATGCCAAACTCTGTCGAACGCCTTGGCTCCGGTGTTATATCCTTTGCCGAAGTTGAAGCCTTCGGTCGCGAAGTCTACTACCCTTAGGACTTGTAGCTCTGTCGAGTGTTCTGATCTAAAACCGAATTGCTCATCCGGGAGGATTCCTAGATCTCTGGTTTGGTCTTCGAGTCTCTTTGAAATGACACGCTCCGCCACTTTGCTTATGGAAGGAAGTAAGCTAATTGGCCTGTGATTGTCTGGGAACAGGTGGTTCTTTTCGGGCTTCGGGATGTGAATAACCGTTGCCTCTTTGAACGGGTACGGGAAGTGCTGCAATCTGAGTATAGCGTTTATGATGTTGGTTATGGCTGCTATACCCTTGCGCGGTAGTACTTTCAGTGCCCGGTTTGTTATGTTGTCCGGGCCTGGTGCTTTCCGAGTGGATATACGTCTCAAGATGTCTTTCACTTCCTCGGGAGATGTCGGGGTAAGGGGTTGCGTGTTGTCCGTTCGTTGCTCGCCGTGTATTGGCGGGCATAGCTGACGAGGTCCGTTCCTGAGTACTTTCTGCATTCTCCATGCAGACTGGTCTTCAGTCTGCATGGGGTTTATTGTATTCATGTTCGGGTTCGCTTCCGGACTTGTTGTGGTTGGCAGGACTTGTTCGTCTCTGCTTGGCCTGGGGGTTGGCTATACTGGAACCTCTGGAGTTTTGTTATTGAGGGTTGATATGTATGTGTTTTTGGGAGTTTCCACTATGGACGTTGTTTTCGTGTCCATATCCTCGTGGCTTCCTTGTTGTTTTTCTGCACAAGACATGCCCAGGTTCAGGTAAAAAACACTTCACCCCTTGCCTCTCACGGGAACCTACAACTTTGTAGGTATGTGTGGCAGGTACCCAACAGAAAACAACAATTACCCATAAATGGGAAGTTACTTGCGACGAATGTTCCAAATTGAAGACGTTCTACAGGTTCCTGATGGTATTTTCTTCTTCCTGCGCGGCATTAGCTGGGTTAGCCAGTTTTTCCGTCGGGTATCTACCACATGTACCTACCTATAAAGTCGTGGGTCCACATGAGAGGCAAGGAGTAAGGTGTTTTTCATCTGTCATATGCACCTCTCCGGAATAGGTTAAGTATTCTGGTTCAAGTGGAAGCTTCATATGCTGAACCGTACGAAATAATGTGCAACAGCATTGTAAACCTTGAAAAGGTCTACAAAAAAGTCCGCGATGTAATACACAGCTTCGGTGGCATCGCAAACTGTATCTACACTCGATGGATAAACAATAATAGTGACCGAAAACCATGTAAGGAGTGAGAGAAGCCTCATTGTGTGAGGAAGACAGGAGACCGACTTCGTTCCCAATTCTACTATGTGCTGTTTACTGGGTGATAAGTGACACCGGTAGAAGCCAGGTGGAAATAATTATGATCAATTCACTAAATTGGCTATTGAAAAATGAGGGTTGGTGATGAGAAGGATGAAAGATGGGGATTATATGTATTTTTCAATATCACACATCATAAAAAAATAAACAAAACATGTTTTACATATTTTTTATTGTTTGGGGTTGTGCACCCTTTGCACTTAGCGGTATGGAAAATAGATTGGAAACTATTATCAGACCTACTAAGTATACCTATTGAATTTTAATAAAAATTGGTGAAGCCGTTTCTGAGAAGTATGCCAACTAACACTGTGATACAAGAATTTTATATATAAGATATATTGAATTCTTATCTGTATTTGTACTCAATCTTGAAAAAATAAAATTTTTATTATGATAAAAAATACAAAATATTGTTAAATATTTGAATATGGACTGGAGTCATTCATGGAGGGATTGCTGAATGTACTGCCATACGGACGAGCTGTAACAAAAATGAAATGGATTTTTAAACGACAACTTTGTGAGACGTATATTTCAATATACCATGTTAATCATGTATAATGATTATAAATTATAGATTTATTGAATATCGTGTGTGTTCACTAACCATTTTTCAAATTATAATAAAAAAACAAAACAATTCGCTTTTCATCTTATGTACTAACCAATTATACGAAAATATTTGTTAAATACTTGTAGAAATTTCTTGGTTTCAATTTTTCTACAACTTCAATAAGGAAAACATTTTTTCAAATTCATGTTACTTTCCTCCGCACCTAGCCAAAATGGCATTACTAATTCTAATAAACGTTCATATGATGCTGTATCAGTTGGAAATTTGAATCACATTTTTTTTATGTGGAAATAATTCAAAAACACATAGGTGCCTCTCACAGAGTTAATTCCACTTAACACACAATTTTCCGTCGATATCGTAAGTTTACTATCACTAGAAAAAAAGAAATTTACGATGCCATAATTGAATTTACGGAGAAATGTAGATTGAAAATATAGTATACCCATTTCAAATTTCTGTGGCAAATAGAATACATTCTAATACCAACCCTTCTCCTCTTCCTCATCGTCATCATGTTGGTGAGGAATAGAAGCAAGCAAGTGTATGTCTTTTGAATTTCCAAATATCGCTATTTGAAAATGACAGAGAAACATTCAATGTTCTTTTGTTAATTCACCACTTATTCTGATACCATAATCAGTTATATTTTCATTCTGAAAAAATCATTGTTAAAATAATTTCAACAGTAATTTTATTTATTTTCGAAACTGATATCTTGATATCAATATGATGTCTTATTGAAAATCGAAGAAGAAATGGCAATTACTGATGTGATTTTGGCTTCGAATGAAAAAAACGTCTTATCGAAAGTAAAGTCTTGTTAAATTTAGTAAAAATGTTGAGGAGGTGAGAAAGTCTCGAAAAAATTTTCGTCATTTCATTGAAGAGAACTGAATTATATTCACTGAAAGATTTTTGTGTTGAGGTGTCAACGAATTACCAAACTGTCGAGGACTAAACTGTCGGCACGTACTCATCCTGAGGCTGAAAAACCATCTGGTTTCCAAGAGACGAAGACTTCAAAGAAACTTGGAAAAAACTGGACTTACAAAATGAAGACGAAGTTTGTTTTGTCAGTAGGGTCTAAGAAACTAGCTGACCTATCAGTGAAATATGTCTTCACCTTGCCATCTGATTCAACTCATCTCTCGACCCTGGGGGTGTCAGGTGAAGGAGTCACTAATGACTCTCGATCTCCTCTCGTGAAGTCACGGTGTTTTAAAACATGCCAAAGATTCTTCATATTTCTTTAAAAAAATCAGGGACAAATTGATCGAAGTTGCTTTTCTACAGCAACCTTGAATACAAACAAAGTAAATGAAGCAATATTCCTGAGGAGATGATAATATGTTCAACCTAATCGTCAGAAAACTTATCAATTACTTCATTACTACAGGCTTCTGCAACCGAAATTTGAGAGCTGTATCAGTTACCCCACCAGTCTGGAAGAGTATGACGAACAATATCGCCTTTTCTGCTTTCCTCGCGGGATATTACGATACTGTACCTCCTCTTGCTAGGCACCGACTGATCGACTATAGCAAAAGGAACAAATTTAAAATGATAGTGGCATGTGACTCCAACTCACAATGTACATCATGGGACAGCACGAAAATAAACCGCAGAAGTGAGTTATCCTTTCCTAATATATACTAGGGAAAGGGCTATCTGCGATTGATTCTAAACCAACTTTACTATTAATAGGCAAGAGATAGTATATTTAACCATTATGCAGTCGTACGACTTTCCTCTAGCAAGTTTTGTCGTGGTTCGTTGGTGAAAACGCGTTGAGAAGCGTATTGCAGTTCCGATGTGAGGGAGCAATGATTGTTTTGGATGTAATTCGACTCAATTTTCATCTTCACTCACTTTTTGAATAGAAACTCATTTTATATTTTTTTGTACTCTACAAACATCGAAAATCTCAAAAATCATCATAACCAAGTTGAATGGCTCCTCGCACTATCGAATGTTCACACCAATGACATTAATGTCTATATCGAATCATAATAACTATGCATTACTAGCATAGGCAAATAAATGTTGGCTAAGACGCTCTATAACGTCGGCCCAGCTGCGGCAAAGCATAATCGGCGAACAATCGACTGGGCGGTTCCGACCAACATTCTGCCGATACTAAATATTGTCGAAGGAGCTAGTTTGCCAGCTCCGAGTATCGGCAGGGACTGAAACGACCAGATCGTAAGTGTACTGGGTACGGTCACGTTGGTACCTGCATTTATATTCAAGAACAAAATAAGAAGTTTCATTTTCATTCACTAGCAGATGATCCTAATTTTATCAATTAAGGAAGAACAATATATGTCCGAACCAAAACAAAGATAACGACTAAATTAATATGATTGCAGTGTAGTTACTGTTGTGTCGGTTTCTTTAAAGAATCAACTGAACGCTTTTGATTCTTCAAGAACTGTGGAGTCAATTATTATTAAGACAGCTCTCCTGCAGACATTTTTGAATATGAAAATAATTAAGTCAACTTCAAACAGAATAAAGTTGATTATGAAACTTATCACCACAACTCGAGTTTTTTGTATGTTTAATATTTCAAAAACCATATTGAATTTTTTTAAAAAATAGAGTTCATTTTCTGCACCATGATTCGTTTATAATGTATTACTATTTGATGGCGTTAAAGTAATACTCAACATGAATGAAGATAGCAATAACTTTTTTGTGTAATTGATGACTTGTTTATTTTGTAGAAACTCATGATCACTTTAGTGAATATTACTGGAGTTTTTTCTCAACACCAAATCGTTATTTTTAACACTTCGACACGTGTTTCGGTCACCAAGTGACCATCTTCAAAGAGGAAGATTAAAACTAGTTTTAATCACTTGGTGATCAAAACACGTGTCGAAGTGTTGAAAATAACGATTTGGTGTTGGGAAAAAACTCTAGTAATATTCATTACTACACCAAAGGTTCTAAACAGTGCATCGTAATCACTTTAGTGAAATGAATAAAAATACTTTTGTCTAATTTCCACTAGGTAACTAGTTAACATTTCATCAAAGTGATCGCAATAACACTTAGATTGTCGATCATTCCAAAGACAACATCTTCAATGGCAGATTGAAAGAATGATAAATCAATCACGTACACGTCTCAGATGGATCCATTTCCATTTCTTCCACTAGGCTTCTTCCCGACCTAGTTCCTATATAATATCTTACGCACCATGGTATGGACAAAACAAAGACCACTCCAGCGAGTCCCCCAAATATTATTGGCAACCTGTTAGATTTGTAAAACGAGTAATCGTTATCGGTCTGATCTCTGTAACATTTGTTACCATTGACATTGGAGGAGTTGAAATTTTCTCCATTGGCAACTTCTATGTTCGAAAGTATTGTTTTTTCAATAAGTTGAGAGAGAAATTCACAAGAAAATCTGTTACTATCCAGCCATACGTTCTTCAGGTGTTTATCTGGTTTCATCAAGGCATTCAAATTCAATGTGATCAGTCGATTATGATCGATATAAAGTTGAGAAAGGTCATACAAATTGTGCAAATTGGTTTCTTCTATGATCTTGATATTATTATGTGAGAGAATCAGGGTTTGCAAATGTCCCAATGTGTCAAATGTACCGGTTGGTATTACTGTCAATTTGTTATAGGAAAGATCTAGATGACAAAGACTGAGCAAATCGGAGAAATATCCAGTAGGTAGAGAACTAATATCATTTCTATTCAAATATAATTTCGCTAAATTGTTGAAGTTCTTCAATGGTAGCGGCTCTAGGTTCTGAATTGAATTTTTTGTTAGAATCAATGTCGATATCGTCAACATTTTGTTCCTACTTCCTGTGAACTTTTTTACGTTATTATTTCCCAAAATGAGAGTTTTCAATTTATCGGGAGTTTGCGATAAGTCGAAGGAAGATAAATTATTTTGAGAAAAGTCAAGCACGGTAAGTTTTGTCATTGAACTGAAGCCTTCCGAGAATGTCAAGTGGTTCAGTGATATATTGAGTAGCGTTATGCTAGAATTGAGAAAAGAATCGGCCTCGATGACGCTAATTGAGTTATTGGACAGGTCTAGTTTTTTTAATTTCTTCAAGTTATCGAAGATACCAATAGAGATTCTATTGATATTATTGTTAGATAAAAACAAATTGGTCAAGTTGGGCATTTTGCTGAAAGCATGTTGCTCTATTACATTTATGCCAATATCTGAGAAAACTGCAACTGAGAAATTGATGAGCTTGGTGAAGCTCAAATCTGATTTAAATACCGGTACAGCAGATTCATTGATAGTTATACTCTTTGTATAATTCCATTTGAGTTCATTGTAAGTTGGTTCGATAGATACATTTCGAAATGTAAAATTGGTGCAAGTAACTGAAAATCTGTTGGGCAAGTACTGAGATTCACAAGATCCTCGTACCTGTAATGACCAGTTAAGAAGCCTACATCCGTTTATTTCCACCCTCCAAATTTCATTATTAGAAGTATACCCGTTTAAAAGATACGAGGGGGGGAGGGGACTTTTGACTAGCACTGTATAAACATCACAACCCCACTTATGTTTTAGTAAACGGACTTGTGAAATGAAAATCAGTTGTTGCAGAATGGTGGATCTAGAAGATAAAATTATGCTGGAAGACGATAATGGCATATTACAAATCGTTGATTTTGAATTTCTACGAAGAATTTTTAGGAGGCCCAACTATTTCGAGGAGATGGATGAAAAACATTCAATTGTTTTTACTTTTTTTCAATACAATCACATAAGATGTAACTGGCCACATGTGAAATAACAAATGTATAAGTGATTTTATAGTATTATTATTGTTCAACAGAGCTGGCCATCGACCGACATGCAGGTAGTCCTACAACGAAGGGTGTTATAGAGAAAACCAGAATCTGAAATAGCAGTTGCCTGAAACAAAAAATCATTTTAATATGAATTATATACATATGCAATGATGGAAATGTTATATTCTTGTGAAACAACTGATTTATCCAAGCATGCAACATTTTTCATCTTCAAAGAGAATATGAATATGATTCAGTGTGTTTGAAATACTCAAATATCAGTACATGAGTGTCTTTGTTAACTAAGTAATTTCTATTAGAAAAAAAACTTGACTACGTCAACCAGTAAATAGTTAACATTACCATGTACTTGGTACATGTCTATATAATATATTTTATACTGTTTTCGTATCATTCTAGTCTTTGTATGACTCATAATTCACTGCTTAGCATGAAAGTAACCTGGCATAGCTGGCCCTGTTATTATGGTATCAGTAACTGATGGAGNGGTAAATTTTCAAGGTATAAACACTTTTGACAAGTAGATAATTCAAACACGTCAACCTTTTTGACAATGAACCAGAGGCGTACTTTAAAATCTTTATTAATTAAATGCGAAACAATAATTTTCGTATTTCTTCAATTTATCAATCAAAATCAGCCGAAACCCAAACAAAATTGGTATGACTGAATAGGTATTTTCAATACCTTTCAAACGAGCTGTCACTTGCCATAGGGTCCCATTTAAAATTTTTGGTCACAGTGGCCTTGTGACGTCATTTATGACTATTGCGTCACCTGTAATGACCAGTTAAGAAGCCTACATCCGTTTATTTCCACCCTCCAAATTTCATTATTAGAAGTATACCCGTTTAAAAGATACGAGGGGGGGAGGGGACTTTTGACTAGCACTGTATAAACATCACAACCCCACTTATGTTTTAGTAAACGGACTTGTGAAATGAAAATCAGTTGTTGCAGAATGGTGGATCTAGAAGATAAAATTATGCTGGAAGACGATAATGGCATATTACAAATCGTTGATTTTGAATTTCTACGAAGAATTTTTAGGAGGCCCAACTATTTCGAGGAGATGGATGAAAAACATTCAATTGTTTTTACTTTTTTTCAATACAATCACATAAGATGTAACTGGCCACATGTGAAATAACAAATGTATAAGTGATTTTATAGTATTATTATTGTTCAACAGAGCTGGCCATCGACCGACATGCAGGTAGTCCTGAGTAGAAAATTTTCCTCTATATAGATGGTCAGTTAGATGTTATTTTGCAATTCAGGGGGATATGATTGAATTGCAAAAATTATTTCTCCGGTGAGGTAAAGTTTGGAACCATCCATTTCGCTAGTAGTAGAATAATAGAAAATTCACTGGCAAGTATGTTCTTTTGTCTGATTCTGATAGTTTCTGACAACAAGGTAGAAGTAAACCATCTAAACCCCAATTTTTATCAAATTCACCTGTTTTGAAAATTGACACGTAAACAGTAATTATCCCCGAAAAGATACAACATTGCCAAGTTATTTTGGCGCTTGGCTAAGCTACGTTTATTGTTCTGTGATATGTGGTATATACCGCAAACATTCAAGCTTGGTTTGAGTTTCAAGCGGACTTACGCAACCTTTGCTTTACAGAGAAAACGGTGAATACGGGCATTAATACCTATGTCATGGGATGCATAATTAAATTTTTCCCTAATATTGACTGGCACGCCATATTAGATTTGAAATGAAGTTATGTCATTTTAACACTGTTTCGAGCAAACTTTCATGTGTATACAAAAAAACTAGTTCATCATCTTGGGCGGTCCTCAGTATTGGATGCAGAGTGATGTCATTTAATTTTTTCTATTTCCTCAGCAAATTTGATACCCATATCATGGAGGTGCATGAAAAACTATTCCGCTGTTTTAGGCGGCCGCCTTATTGGATGAAGAATATTGCTAACTATTTATTTAGCTGACCGTGCATTATCATTCAAACCGAAGGTGTATGCAAAAATTTCAGCGATGTCAGTTGAGGTTATGTGCATTGAAATACAGTTGAAAGATTTGACCCGGACTAACATACATATACAGTGTATATATTTGAAAACATACCACCTTTTTTCTCAACACCAAATCGTTATTTTCAACACCTCGACACGTGTTTCGATCACCAAGTGATCATCTTCAAAGAGGAAGATTAAACTAGAAACTAACGCGAAGCTAACACTATTTATGCTATATAGATATCCCATACAGGTAAACCATCCAGGTGTACCACCCATACAGGTATACCAACTTAAATTAATTTTACAATTTTGCTTTATCTATTATTTCACAATATATGTTTAACTGTTATAGCTGTATATAAAACAATTTTCAGCTATATAAAAATTAATTTCATACCTGTTCATGAGCAGATTCGAAATGGAAACCAAAGAAAAGTGGAAGTATTTTCCTAGGATTTGGCTAAGGTATGTAGATAGTTTCGCGATATTCGATACCAAAAAATCGAATATTGAGAACTTTGTTTCCATTTTGTATAATGGATTTCCATCAATAAAATTCACGTATGAGTTAGAAAATAAGGGACAACTACCATTTCTTGACGTTTTGGTAATGAGAAGCCAATATGGAGGATTAGAATACGATATATTCAGAAAAGAAACCAGCACGTACAAGTATATTCCTGATAGTTCACATCACTATGGACAGCACAAACGTGCTGGGTTGAATTTTTTAGTGCATCGTCTTTTGACTTTCCCTCTAACACATGATAAGTTCACAAAAGAAAGACGTACAATACAGGAAATAGCAGCCACTAACGGTTTCTCGAGGGATATTGTGACATAATATTGACATAATATTGTGGATATTGTGACATAATGAGGAAGAAGAAGTTTAGGTTAAGAATGAACGAAATATCGACTTTCAGAAAGGACGAAAACTAAGATAAATACATCTCAGTTCCATACCACCAATATACGAAGAACTTTGGAAAGATTTTCAAGAAACTAGGTATGAAGGTGGTTTTTTAAAACAAGTCATACACTACACAGCCTTTTGGGAAGTCCAAAAGACAAAGTCGAGAATTCGGAAAAGTCTGGAATTTACAAAATCGAATATAGGCACTGTGATGCAAAATATTATGGACAGACAAAAAGATCGATTAAAGTAAGATATAAGAAACACTAGCACACTCAAAATATGGAAGACCTGAAAAATCAGCAGTCGCCCATCATATTTTGCAACAAAACCATTCCATAGACTTCAGTTCATTAAGATTAGTTAGACAAGTTAACAACAGGCAACTAGATGCCTATGAGAGTGTAGAAATAAGAAAACACAATAATATTATGAATAACGATGACGGACTTATACCAAAGAGCATACTATATAGCTTTGTTGAACTATTATTGTTGGGTTTACTGATTACTACATAAGGACAAATTGCAAAAATAAATTTAGATATAGGCAATATTGTGAAATAAATTTTTATATAGCTGAAAATTGTTTTATATACAGCTATTACAGTTAAACATATATTGAAAGATAATAGATAAGGCAAAATTGTAAAATTAATTTAGGTTGGTATACCTGTATGGGTGGTACACTTGGATAGTGCACCTGTATGGGATATCTATGTAGCATAAATAGCGTTAGCTTCGCGTTAGTTTCTAGTTTAATCTTTCTCTTTGAAGATGATCACTTGGTGATCGAAACACGTGCCGAGGTGTTGAAAATAATGATTTGGTGTTGGGAAAAAACTCCAGTAATATTCATACCACCTTTTATATTTTGGCTCCTTTAGAAAATCTAGAAATATGGGAAAAATCCTGAAACTCATTTTTCAAAGTAACATTTTAAAGGCCGCTAAGATATCACATACTTGATCATTCTTATTAGTTGTTCGCAAGAAATTTGGTAAAAACTGAAAACACTTTGTATTTTTACGTTACTATAAAGTAAACTTTGAAAGTAAGAAGTTGTGCGTTTGTTGAATTGTACAAAATGCAATGGTGTCTGCGTTTCAACATAGAACTGAAATGAATTGTATTTATGGGGATTATCGAAGATGCCCAAGAAGAACGCCAAAAATGTTCAGTAAAACATGTTCCATTAGTAATTCAAATCATAATAATGACCTGGAATTAGTTTAATGCATCCTTTGCTAGCATAAAAAAATAATAGTCTTGTTTTGGATGGAGCGGCACTTTTACTGCAGAAACCTCCACAGAACTTTGTGCCAAGCCAAGTATAGAAATGTCTCAAGAAACAGTAAAGAAAGCAGCAAAAATTGAAATACACCCGTATGAAATGAAACTTTTTCTGAAAGAAAATTGAATTTAGAATATTTAAATCAAAATCAAAATATTTTACACAATATTTGTTCAACTGATTGGTGTACGTTTTTTCCTAACAGGCATCTTAACAAACAAAATTGTCGAAAGTGCAGCGATCAAACTCCGCGACTTTTTAGAGAAGGTCATACAGAATATCTAGAGATAGTGAACGTTTGGGCTTGTTTTCTTGGGAATACAATAATTGAATTTTCATTCATCGAGGAAAATCTAACTGATGAACCATACTTGAATTTCCGCAAAGAAATAACAGACCTCGAAATAACAACAATAGTTTATAAAATTGATGCTTACAATATGCCCTTGAAAATAGGTTTTGAAGTGTTTTATCATAATTTCATCTTTTCTGATGAGGGCAAAAATATAGAGGGTGGTACGTTTTGAAATCAATACGCCGTTTATATATTAACACATACAAAGTTGGCAAGATAAAAGCTCATAAAATAAAGACCGATATATAATTTGTTATTAGAAGTCAATTCCTTGTATTTAACAAAATATCACCAGATGAATAGTGACTGACGATGATTTCAAGTGCTCTTCGATTCTGTGTCTATAGGGAATTCATACAAAATTATTGAATGATATCTTAGTTATAACATTTCGAAGGTGACAGAATAACAGGAAGCAGTGGGATCTACTTCCTCTAAATATTTTCGTAGAAGATTAATGTTAGCAGACAATTACTTGAACAAAAATCATCTATGTAAAAAAAATCAACCTTAAAAATTATCTACTCACATGATAACATTCAGTTACGATGTTCCACTAAAAGTGTGAATTTCAACTGGATGTACTGAATGATAAGGATAATTAGTATCAGTGAGATAATATTTCTGAATCGTAATGTAGTTTTCATAGATTGATTGGAATGACAACAAATACGTAACTATAATAGGTAGTTATAGCTTTGGCTAGGTGCGAAAAGTAAAATCCTTAACTTGCCTTTACCGGTAACATTTTCTGAAAAACTTCTGAAGGTTATTTTTACGGGGCAGGTATTTGGCATAAAGTAACAACAGAAAAGACTAGTGACATTGAAAATATATTTCTTTGAAAAGTAGCCTCTGTGGTGTGAATGGAGGTGCTGTTATACAGTCAAGTTCGAAGCATAACACTGGAAGAGAATAATCTTTTGAGGCAGATTCAAAACCAGCTCACTAATATTGAGTCTGGATGTTAATAGTGTTCAAAATAATTTGCAGTTTCGTTGAAAAGTAACATATTCTTCAATAAATATACATACTCTTCTTCGTGAATCTACAAATATTTCTGAGTCAAAAAGCGACTATCGCAAGGTATAGGGAATTTGAACTTGAATAAATTTTCTTATGATGTACTGTTTGGAACCTTTGGTGTAGTAATGAATATTACTGGAGTTTTTTCCCAACACCAAATCGTTAATTTTACACTTAGACACGTGTTTCGATCACCAAGTGATCATCTTCAAGAGGAAGATAAAACTTGTTATTTTATACTGATTCCTATGATTTTTTTCATAAAATCATTTTTTTTTTCATGGGATCGATATTTTTAAGATTTAAACCTGAAATATGTAGGAGGTGAAATCTTATAATGAAATTATCTCATTCATTTTCAATTTCACAAGAAAAATTACAATGATCAAAGTTGTATGAAATGAAATGGAAGACGAAGAATTTTTTTTCACATTGTTCATTCAAAGATTACAAGTTGCTTCTTCTAACCTTCCAATATCTGCCAAACTAATTTGAGTGTTTAGCTGTCGTCATCGTCTTCGAATTGAAATTAAGTGAAATAAATGTTGATTATGTCGTCATGTCGTCAACTCCCTTCTTGATCCGCTTCTGGAGATCATTCACACAGTCGCTAATGTGGGCGACTTCGAGCCGGTACCGTTTCGTTGAATCACCCTCAACACGAAACACCTCTTTGACTCCGACGATGTCCTGACTTTCCCTTTCAATGTTGGTTTCCACCTCTGCCAGTTCAGCCAGCAAACGCCCTTTCCGTTCGACTAGTTGTTCCTGTCGAACCACAAATCGTCGCTTGCGTGTGGCAATCTCTGCCAATCCCTCGTCGCTGCATCGGATCACCAGTAGCTTTGTCTTCCTCTCTCGGCATATTCTGCCGAGTTCGAGCACGTCGTCGACTGAGTTGCAGCTCCTCTGCGGTGTCGGTAACTCCACCTCGCTGCCAGATGGTGGGCCGGAAGTTGCCCCCTGAACAGTTGGCACAGGCATCGGTGGCGGAGGTACTATGGATCCGGCTTTTGGTAGGTTATGCAGCCCGGTTGTGGTCTCTAAAGATGTCGTGGTGGTGAGCATCGGTGGCGGAGGTATTATGGATCCGGCTTTTGGTAGATTATGCGGCCCGGTTGTGGTCTCCAAAGATGTCGTGGTGGTGGTTGGCTCAATGTTCAATGCAGTAGATGGTGTCTGCGACGCCATCGGTGGCTGTTTTTTCGTCTTGACCGTCTAGAACTTTGAAACGGTGGTATCCAACGTAGAAGGGGCTCGTCACAGGGTCAAGGTCATCGGCGGCTGCCGATAAGGATTCCTCTCATCCCAGATTTTCATGTATTTCCGCAGCTCCGACTGCTTTGGTACCACCTTTGGCTCCACCTGCTTCGACTCAGCGGCGGACACCCTCTTCTTAGTCGGTTGGGGGCAGCAAACTCATCATCACTACCGCTCGCTGCCACTCTTTTGCTGGCACTTTTCGAGCCCTTCTCCGCATCTTTGCTGGTGCTGCTCATTTCAGAAGAGAGAGTGGTTGAACGAAGATCCTCCATTCTGCTACATCCAGGTCTTGGAGTCGTCACCATCACAGTTTCTTCAGGAAGGGGGCTGAGTGGGGGTTCTACATGGAATTCCGTTAGGGAGTCCACGATATTCTCTGGTAGCTCTGATCCCTTCACCAACACCACGTCTTGCAGGATATTCACCTTACCCTTCTCAGATTTACCGGTATCAGTAAAAAGAGACATTGGTTGGTTGGGTAACAGGATCAATTTTTTCTCAAAGAAACCCAGCCAACGTTTCGAATTCAATTGAATTCTTCTTCAGGGCTCTGTAACAATGTAGTTTCTTGAACATACCTTCCACAAAACTCATACGATAAGTATCGTTTCAATTACTCACCGAGATGTAGTTTATCTGTGTTGATATAACTATTTTAAAAAACATTAGACATATAAGATACATTTAAAAATAAAATGAAAAACATTGTAACAACTTCGATAGAACACCAACACAAAGGGACATGAAACAAACGAAAGGCTTCATCTGTGACTCTGATAAGGTGGTGTCTGTTTTTTGATTACTGACAGAAAGAAAAAGAGTGAAAAAAGGGGTAAATTATCTAGGTATTTTACTTATCAAACTTCACCACTTGAAGTTTTTGAATTCTGTATAGACTTCAATTCCTTTTGTTACAATGGAACTATTTACAAACAAATTTTTTGGGTTGGTATTGGGTAATTGTATGTCAACCAGTTGTGCAGATTTGGTCATGGCAGAAATACAAAATATATGCATAATAAGTTATCATTTTCATTGTCTTTTTTCAAAAGAAATGTTGATGATATTGTTACTTTCATTCCAAAAAATAAACAAACTGAAATATTAGATACATTTCATAGTTTTCTTCCAAAACTGAAATTCACTCTTGAAATGGAAGAAAACAATTAGTTTCCATTTCTGGATACTGAAATAATTGAAGATTCAAATCAAATTTTAAAGGTAGACTGCTATCATAAACCAACTTTCTCCGAGAGATTTTTGAATTATTTTTCAAAACATAACTTCCACAGTAAAATCAACATTATGAGGTATTTGAAATCAAGAGCAATTGCTATTTCCAATTCTGATTTCCATAACAAAAATCTCACCTAGTGAAAAATAATTTTTCTAAATGCAGCGTTAGCACAGTCCTCGGCCACCTGCGTGTCACCATCGATAGCGAGGCTAGAGCGATGCGTTACGTCACAGCCTTTACTGCATCGAAAGAGGTGAGGGCACACCGATGAATACGCATTACTCAGCCGCACGTCGTGAAGTGAACATCTCGCTCTCCTACCGTTGAACGGTTGATGCTGTGACGTCACACCACTACTAACTTGCTGGGCTCACACCGATGTAACATTCATTACTTGAAGGATCTTCGAAGTATGTAGACGTATGTTTGTACAAAGACAAGCACATGATGAAACCCTGTACCGTGCATTCTCATACACACACCAATCAAATGTAATTACGTCACTATGTCACACCCACACACACACACACACACACACACACACACAAAATCTCATTTGAAAAAAAATCTGAACGATCCATGCACCAGACCCTTCAAGGTCACATCGCCTTGATGTTACTAAACAACAACAAAAAAATAGCAAATAATACGTCATAGTGGTGGGGGGAAGCCCAGAATCGGCTGTAATCTGTGATGCACACATGCCACCTATGCACCAGACATATTTTTCAAGGTCATATGCACCATACATATTTTTCATGCCTGGTGCCATGCACCAGACATATTTTTCAAGGTCACATGAGTCGGTCTAGGTTATCCACCCCACTTGACGTCATAATGGTGGGGGGAGGCTTGGAACCGGCGCAAATCTCCTACTTTCATCACACAATATCTTGATCATTCAAGTATGTAGAGATGAAAAATCTCAAATAAAAACTTAATTTCATCTGAAGTTTTCTTCTCACACTTGACAATCATCAATTCAGTTTTCAATTTTTTTATTCTTTGCTATTCCTCTCATACTTTCAGTACAATGTACGTACGTACTTTATGGTATCATTTTAGTCTATATCTTACTCTTTGTGAAATAAAACTATAGGGGATTTTTCGTGATTCAGTCATGATATTGTAGATTTTACCCAACAACAAAATTTTCGAAAGGTTCGGTAACCACTATCAGTTACTACTCATATATCGTCTATCCTCTAGTCTATTTATATTTTGTATCATAAAACTCTGCCAGAACTCTTCGAATTGTCAGTAACGTTATTCACAGCATAACACGGGAAGGAGGTTCAGAGCATATTCTTTCTCCTCAACCTTGTGACTATATTTGATTTCTTTCGTTTCTTCATACACCCAACTTCGATGAATATCAACCTACCGGATGTCGGGGTCTCCAACAGACTACCATTTATCTTCTCAGATGAATCCTGTATCCAAAGCGAAGCCTAATCGTAGTTCTTGGCCACATTCAAAACTGACATAATCACTTCACTAGTAACGTCTTTACCACCATCTAGGGCTCAATTGATAGCCTGTTGCACTGAGATATGCTATTGCCTACAATAGATTCAAAAAGAGTCTGTTCTCGTAACGCCAATCACCTGGGTTAACCTATAGCGCATCATTAAAACAGCATAAAAAAATCAGATACTATCTTGTACAACTGAAGAATGCAAAATTCGGGCTGGTAAACCGTGGTCGAATTGAACTTCAACTACCAAACGCTTCGTCTGCTGCACTGCGGCAGATATCAGCACCAACTGAACTCGTCGTTCCTTGGAATAAATCACTTCGAATTAGTTACTGATATCATTTATTGTGTAAGTTTGTTTTTTTATTCTGACTTTTTTTTAATGTTGATGTTTGATTAGGACATTATATATTGATACAAGGAATTCATTCATTACTACCAACCTAGTTGTGGAATTTATTTCAAATCATGTCCTGAGGATGCTAATTTGGTTAGGGAAACGGGCGTTGAAAGACATTGTTTTCGGTTTAGTATAAGAAAGAGGTATCCATTAGAGGCTATGAAAGGTTGAAGTTGGTATTTCAG